TTGCTAAGTGATTTGTGATTTAAGCAGTTCATAAATCTTATGTTTTGTAAGTATTATATTTATTTGAAGCATTGCATTCATTTTACACTGTCGATAAAGTTCGTTGTTGTTTCGATCTAAATTTTTTGGTTACGTTTGTTTCAATAACGTGTGATAGAGTTGCATTAAACGCTGATTTTAGTGAAATTGCTCTCTGTTGAACGTTGTTTTCGTCATTTTCCTTCTCTCTGTTTCGCTTTAACGCATCATTTGTGTAGTCATGCCTTGTTCAGCCGATATGGCATTGGCTGAACTTTCACAATATGACGAATGATGATTGATTTTTATGGTGTTTGATTGCTGAAGATCGCATCATTATTCCAGCTATCTCTCAGCTCCTTGTTTCCTGGTTTCAAGCGTTTTCTGTTTCGGTTTGTTGCTCTTTAGACGCTTACTAACGTTGCTCCAGTTTTCACCTTCTCTGTTGCGGTCGGGTCTCAGTCGTAGCACTTAAACTTTGTTTATGAAAGTTTTAGCAAAAAAATTTTTTATTCCTCGATTCGCGTCGCGTCTGACGCAATGTGCAGCTGTTGATCTTAGCGAACGTACGCTGAAGAAACGGACTGTAAACCGGTCTAGAGCTAAAGAAACCAAAACCGGCATGGGAAGAAATTTCAGCATTTAATCATCAGCTGCGAATGGGGTTGAATTTAAAAGTTGTTTACGTCAAACGATGTCTTAATTGTTTTCTCATTAATTTCTCATTAAACTTTTTTGTTTGTGTTCATTTTTGAATATGCACGTTCCAAACAGCGTTAAGTCTAGACGACTTGTACTTGAAATTAAAATTTCCTGTATGGTGTTTTATTATAACATTTTATTATCATTGACAACGTTACATAGTTAGTTTTTTAAGTAAAAATTATTGCGTATTTCGAAAAGGCACAAAAATCAACGCAGTTCGTTGAATCTAATTATATATATATTGGCGTTTCGGACCTGATTCAGTCCGTCTTGAAAGTAGTAATGAATTTGCTAATTGGATTGACGCGTATGATTAATTGTGCCGGCTTGTCATTGGTCTTAAGCGACCATTTTGATTTTTATGGTCCATGCCCAATGTACGAGGTCGCGATTGTCGCAGTTGATGATTGTGTAGATTAGTAAAGCTTCACAGGAAAGATCTTGCTTTTTACGCGGCGCCTTTCATTTTCTCAAGATATGTTGTACTGATAGATTCCAGCATGCTGAACCCTAGAGGATTTTTATATATTCCTGTTTAGTGATTTTGAGATCCTTTGTTTTTGTCGTTGTTCCATTTGATGAGTTTTTTGCTCGGTCGTCCTTTCTTTAATGGTGCTGCTCGTGTCGCCTATATAGCAGAATCACATGACCAGGTGAGCGTGTGTATTCAGTCTTGCTTATGTGCTTCTGATCTTTTAATTTTCACATGGTTGAGGTGACTTACTCCAACATATTTTTCAGGATTTGGGCTTGTATCTTGAAGTATGTTCAGCAGTATCTATTCCTACAAATATCGGGGTTTAGTGATTGTACGAAGTTTCACTGATATAGTAGTGCCACTTTTTAAGGAGCTTCGCTTTCTTGAATGTCAGTAGTAAAGTTGGAGCCACTTCGCTCTAGCAACTAGTCTATAAAATATTTGGTTAAGTTTTTGTGTGCGTACCGCAATGTTTCTAAGTGGTTTAAGCGTGTCACTGCCCTTTTGAAGTTGGTAGGATAATTATTTTAGTAGAATGTTATGTCGAAAATAGAATTTCTCAGTAGAGTAGGAACACTTTTGTCGTTTACAGAAGGAGCGTTGCTACAAATTCTGTCCTGGAAAATGATCTTGGTTCATGTGTATACATTTTCGTGCCTAGAACATGGATAGGGGTAACGAGATTCTGACATGTAGTCGAAAGAGAGTTGACGGCTACGCGGTTGGCTTTTCATTATTGACTTTCACCGGACCCTGAGGAAGAAATATATACCACCAAAGATTGTTGGTTTCTTCAACAAGTTCGTACGTTGTACTTGTAAAGCAGTATCCACGCTGCGTTGACCTGTCAGGATGGCGTGATTAGCAGTTTAGGCTCGAAATTGTGTTGCTGGAAAAGTGGTTCAATCTGCTGCTTCACCATTATATTATTATTCATCATATATTAGGCGTAAAAATATTTGCATTTCATACTCGAAATGTTTTATGTGCCAAATGCCTTGCCGGCTAAACTTGCGGTCAGCCACGAGTCATTGCAGACATCTCGCTCATATAGAAGCTTACAGACGATGCACATTGCCCCTATGTCGTTAAATGCTTATTAAATCCAGGACGTGGGTGCACTGGTATTCTCTGGCCTCACACATAACGTGGCCTTGTTAAATGTTGCTCCTGTTTCTTTTACTATTCTCTTTTGGACCATACTATGATTCAGTACTCGGGACATGGCCTTGCTGACCCATGAAATAAAGTCAAATAGAGTGGAATTTTTACTTGACTTCTGGGTGTTAAATGTATTTCAGATGTCATTAAAAGTAGTTTCAAGTCAATAACTGATTGTCCGGAACTCGTCATCATGCTCCTTTTGGAACATGGACTGTGTGGTGACCACATTTCAACTGTTTTGAGATCAGTTATATCCGATTGCTGCCAACGCATGTTTTCGTTCAGATTTGTGATCAGGTACCCTTAAAAAAACTTATGGGATAACAAGGCCTATGGGTGCTTGTGTGCAAATGTATCCTTAACTGACGATTTCACTGTGCATTCGTTGTTTATCAGCGTAGTGTAAGGTGTTTGCTTCTGCTTTCAGCACCGGCATATGTACAGCTTACAGCGGCAATTCAGTTAGTGCGTATTGCCTATAGAAAGACGACACTAAAGCAAAAGAATCCATTAAAGTATGAATTGAGTTAAGTTCAGTTCTTTTTTTGAAATGAAGAACTTTCATTGTGCAAAGTAATGCTAAATGTATCAGACTGTTAAATTCGCATGAAGCAAGTGGGTGGTATACTGAAACATTAGTTCAGCGAATGAAGCTAAGCTGTCATAAACGTTCTGACAGTGGTCTTAGTCACGAAGTAGTGTTGCAGTACTCTCGATTGTCCTAATATATCGTTGCAGGAGCCCAAGTTGGCCTGCAGTTAATTCTCGAAAATAGACTGGATTGACATAAAGGATGATTGGCATTATGCAGCTTCTTTTAAATTGCTGTGAAAATTGAAACGGGCGCTAAACAAGTGGAAGCGGCTAAGGGATAATTTTCTTAACCTTCTTGATGAATGTCTTGTTCAGTCATTTCCTCAGTGTTCAGAACTTTACAGCATTGCTCCGTAGTGGAGCTGACCTAAGCAACTAAATACAGTCTCATTTGAAAATGAAACGCA